TTCTTTCGTTCGTTCGTTCGTTTGTTCGTTCGTTCTTTTTCTTCTTTAATCACATTAAAATGCGAATGCAGGAATCGTTAAGCAGAATCGAAATGCACGCATCTTCTCGAATACCCGGTTCTTGGAAATTTGGAACCGGTTCTAAAATGGAACCGGTTTTCGATACCCAACCCTAGCTGACGGTGATACCGTTGTTAAGCAACACCGGTTACGTCACTTGCCCACCGCGGCACCGACCTCCACTGTCGTTTAGATTTTTTTATAGTAATAAAAATAATTTAGCTCAGTAAAAGAACAGACACTACAATTAAAAACTGAACGCGGCTGCTTAATGTAGCGTGCCGAGCGACAGTCGCATCACAGATCAGATTTCATTTCTCCAGTGAGGAGAGTGAGTCGAGCTGACTGACAAGAAGAGTGAGGTGAGACAGACAAGACGATGGCGGATGATTTAGTTTAGAAACGAAATGCAAAAGCGCCTGTTTGGCAATATTTTGGATTTTGAAAAGCCTGTTGACTTTTTGCCGTTTATCTAAGGTGATTTTGGAAGTTTTTTTTAAACATGCGTTTCTTATTTAATTGGTTTCACACAATTAAATAAGAAAGTGTTTGCTGATTTTTACTTTATTTAAACTTTGTGTAATTTATTTATTTTATTTGACATCAAGGTGTATGCCGTGCCTCCAAGCTTTCTTACTCGTTTTGCTAATAAACGTTCTACGTTTCTTATTTATTTGGTTATATATTATACATGTTTACTCATTTCCAGTATTATATACCCATTTAAACTTTATGTAAGTTATTTGTTATTTTATATTAGGCATAGCCTGCCCTATAACATGGTGTATTTTTATTCGTTTTGTTAATAAAAGTTCTATGTTTTATATATAGGCTAAAGTGAGTTTGACGTTGTATTTTGTTGTTGCATTCAAGCCGAATTGCCACTAATTCTTGGATTTGATTCGGTCTTGATTAAGATGAATTTGATTAATTCTTGGTCTTGGATTTGATTCGGTCACACCAGTGAGGGTCAAGCTAACCTACACAAAAAAATTAATTTTTAACTAGTAAGTTCAACTTTCCTTCCAATCAGATGCACTGAGCAGAATTTTCTGGGTCTTTAACATTTGCAAAATGTTTCTTTGTGGTTTATCTCTCAGGAATCAAGGGCATCTCTGAGGAGACCACCACAGGAGTTCACAACCTCTACAAGATGTTGAAGAAAGGGGAACTGAAAGTTCCTGCCATCAATGTCAACGACTCCGTTACCAAGGTAACCTTTTATTACCAGCATATAATATCATTACGTGGTGTTGTCCGGTTATTCGCTGTCATCATTTCATGGTCTGTTTTGTTCACAGACAAATGTGAGCACTTTATGCTTGGTTCTAATATTATCTGGCTGTTGTAAATGAAAGTATTTATTTGAGAATGACTTATTATCCCGCTCCCTTCAGAGTAAGTTTGACAACCTGTACGGCTGCCGTGAGTCTTTGATTGACGGCATCAAGCGTGCCACAGATGTGATGATTGCCGGTAAGGTGGCAGTGGTGGCCGGGTACGGTGACGTCGGTAAGGGCTGCGTTCAGGCCCTGCGAGGGTTCGGTGCCAGAGTTATCGTCACAGAGATCGATCCCATCAACGCTCTGCAGGCGGCTATGGAGGGTATGTTTTGTTTGTGTGTGTGTGTTCCATTCCTTTCCTTCTCGCCCATTTTGGTGTCTGCATCAATTTGAATTTACAAAATTGATTTTATATAGAAAGCATATTAAATGCAAGTAAAGTGTCTATTTTAATGTTTCAGAATAAAATTTCAAAATATGGGAATAAAATATGAAGTAATGTTTCATCGTCATTCAGCATAACAGATATATTAATGTAACAATGAAACCATATACTTATTCTGACCTGTACTTATTAAAATATATAAAAGAATAAAGTGATCATACTAAATTGTATTATATTTTAAATGATTGAAAGCTTCTTGCTGACAAATGGGAAAACCTAGTGGTTTGAATGATAGTGGCAAAGACTGATAAAGATTTAAAATTACAGTTTAATATTAGTTTTTGGGGGCTGCATTGTGATCCTTAAACAGAGTCTTATTAATGTCATCAAATAATAATCCTGACAAGATTTTTGTTATACAAACTGTTGTTAAACTGATTTTTTTCATGGTAAAATGTGTGATAGTCATTATTTTTTGACCTGAAAAATAAAATTAAAACGAATTTAAAAGGATAAAAAAAAATGTAAAGGTGTTTTAAATTTTTTTTTTTTTTTGCTTTGATGCTTTTCATCTTTTGCTTTTCGTCTTTGACCCTTGTATATAAAATGTATATTTATTTGTTATTTAGCCTACTTTATTAGTAGTAATAGTATAAATAATAATCTCTTACACTATGTATATATTAGAAAGGTTTCTTGAGCGGCAAATTAGCATATTAGAATCATTTCTGAATATATATATATACAGTGGGTACGGAAAGTATTCAGACCCCCTTAAATTTTTCACTCTTTGTTATATTGCAGCCATTTGCTAAAATCATTTAAGTTAATTTTTTTTCCTCAT